CACCTCCCCAGTACAAAGGCACCCCCACACCACCATCACCGCAAAGAGAGAGGGGGGCAGGGGTGCTGCTCCGCTTTGCTTTGGCAGGGCCTAGAAAAAGTGCGGGGCCAGGCCCCCACCAGCTCACACACTCTACCCCTATCATCCCTCTGCCCCGCAGCCCAACATAAGAGGCGCAAGGCTGGCCCCCCCTGGGTGAGACCCGGTTATCCAAGGAGAGCAGTCGGTAGTGCTACCTGGGTGCAGGCGCCAGGTGCCTGCTCCCAGGCAGAGGTGCCTGCTGAGCCTCAAAATCGCACTGCAGCAATGCCTCAGGCTCTCGTTTCCAGCATCCCTCACCCTCAGACACCACGTCCCTGGGAGGGGGCAGCAGGAAAAAGGCCCTTTGCAAACATGGGGACTCCAGATTTTGGGGACACCCCCTGATTCTGGGAGGCAGAGACTGAAGGATATGCACCTTGCATCTCTGAGGCTGCAGCCTGGGCCTCCCTGGTACCCACAGTACCACCATGGCCACTGGCACACCCAGGAGGGGACACCTGGGGAGAAGACATCCAGCCTTAGAGGCGGCTTGAGCTCCTTGGCCTGTGCCTTTTGCACAGAGCAGCTGCCTACCAACAGTCCACTGGCTTCTGCAGTGTCCTCAACAATCTATATTAATAGGACTGAAATTAAAAGCAAGCCCTTGGGTTGTAATGTGGCTCCCTGAGCTCGTCAGCAGAAGCCAAAACCATTTTGAGTCTGCTTGTCCACTTCAGCCTGAACACAACTCGAAACTCAACTGCCCAAATGCTTCAGCTGAGCAGATGCTCTGCACCACGTTTCCACCAGCTGTGCCACAGGACATCTCTAGGTCTTCATTATGGAGATACTCAAACCAGGCAGCAGCTTTGCTGGAAGCCACCAGCCAAAGGGTCAAGTGGGAGCTCTGTGAGCACTTTGTAAGGTCTTACAGCTCCAGGACATCTTTGAAGGGCCCAGAAATATCAAAGTGCCCACAGTGAAAGCTAAATCCCCATGAATTGGGGGAGATGAATGAAAGAGTGAAGATAAATGATGAAGGGAGGGGTTTGTTTTTGCTAAATAGGTGTCCAAAGTGTCCAGTGTTCTGGATGAACAGGGTCTGGACTTGGACAGACAAGAAAAGTACACAGCAAAACCAGCTGCTTCCACTCTGGACCAGTGATGATGCTTCATCCAACCATCAGCACTGAGGTTGATGAAGCAGAAGGACTGGCTGGATGGCTTACATCCCACTTACCTCCAGGTCATACCTATACAGAGAGTCTGGTTAGCAACAACAGAGCAAAGGGCAGAGCAGTGAGATGGGGAATGGGCTTGACTACCATTTCATTCTGCCTGAGACCGATTCCATTTTCTTGGCAGAGTCTACAAATTGGCTTCGTGACTTGAGAGCTCAGTGCAGGAGCTAGAGGCAAATGTATGGGAGAGATAAAAAAGCATTTAAAGCCCACCCTTGGTCACCCATTAGGAGTAGCACCCTAAAAAGTGAGGAGCCATCCCCTGTCCTTTGTGGGGCACCTTCTGAGGGACAGCTTGAAGGTAAGGGGTGGATGCTACCCCATCACATCCAGCCATAGAATCATAGAATGGTTTGGGTTGGAAGGGACTTTTAAAGGTCATCTAGTCCAATCCCCCTTCAATGAGCAGGGCCATCTTCAACCAGATCAGATTGCTCAGAGCCCCGTCCAATCTGACCTTGAATGTTTCCAGGGATGGGGCAGCTCTGTTTTGGGAAGATGAGTGCAGCACCAGCACGGCTGGATCCTCAGCCCTCCAGTTCACACTGATTTCCTTCCCACTGTCTGCCAGGTTAGGCTAGGCAATGAAATATCCTCCAAATGAGGCACCTCTCAGTCTGTATGGGCTTTCTCACACAGTTTTGCATGCAGAGTCCCTCCAGCAAAGCCTCCAGGTTTGGGTTTTACTTTACCTGCAGGAACTGGAGTTGGGGAGGGGAGGTGGAAGGTCTCTGGGAGTCGATTAAATGTGTTTAACACTTGGATATGCCCTCCTTAATTATTTCACACTAGCTGGGTAACCAGCCCCCCACACTGAATGGCTTAGCTGTGTTACACCTGGGCAGCTGGGGCAGAATTTGGCTCTATAGGTAGGTGTTTGCTTAAACTAATCAATGTTTGCAGTAACTTGATGTAACCGTAGTGTTCAGCACTTACATTGCATGTTACAGGTCAGCATCCCCACAGCCATTTGCATGGCTTCCACGTGGTGTCGTGGTCCCTGGTAGGGAGGGAGAAGTCAGGGCAGGAGGCATCCCTGGGGCACCAATCTCCCCATGGTGTTGTGTTTGTCAAACACATCCGTCTCCATTAGGCCCAGGAGATCCTGAGGGCAAACTCCAAGTGCCTGGTGTGTGGGAAGCTCCAGCCCACCAAGCATTGGATACCATCACCTTCAAGGCTTTGGGTTTGATCCGCTTTCATACCACAGGCAGTGGTGGATTAAGGCCCATGTTCCTTATAATAACACAAAATTATCTACTTATTCTCAATTAATTCAGCCTCTGTATGTGGTGGGGGTGGATCTTATTATTCAGCAGTTTCCTTATTTTCCACAGATAAACTCGTGGATATATCTAATACCATCTCGACCACCCAACAGCTTCATTGGCTTTGTGTCCTGCATCCTCACCCCAGAGAGGGGCTGTAGGTAGAAGGATGTGGCCATCAGCTGAGCTGGCTGGGCTTTTAGGTTTACACCACCTGGATGCCTGATGCCATGACAGTTATCTGAAGCTGGGCTTCAGCCCATATTACCTTAGTTGAGGCTCTCACGCTAACCCAGATGCAACGTTACACCACAACATTTTGAGTGAGCAGCCAGGAGTCAGTCACTCCTCCAAAGGGACTGGCCTTCAGCTGCTGGACCATGGGCTGGATGAAACCCTCAGCTCTCCCAGCCACCAGGTGCATGTCTCATGTCTCCAGTGATGTCAGAAATCAGGTATGCATCCCACAAGGCTGGGAGGGTGCCTGTCCTGTGGTGTTCCTTGGAGAGACCACGTCTCACAGCATCGCTTTCTTGATACTTCCTCACCTGGTCTTAAGCCAGCCCAGCACAACCAGCCAGGCAGCTGGGCAAAGCAGGCAGCTCTGTCCGGCTCTGTTGTGGTAAGGCATTAGCTGTCTTTTTCTATCTGCTAAGCCGCAGAAATGCGGCGTTCAGATCACAGCTAACCTCTGCAGGAGGTTAAAACCTTTGTGGGAACAAAAGCACAAACACCAATATGGTGGCTGCTGTTTGCTCAATTTATTAACTGCGCGATTGCTTTATATACGCCTTTCTGTACATCACGAGATCTTTAGTTCCCTGTTCTTTCCGTGCATCGTGAGATCTTTCATGCGCCTCTATTCTTCCCATACATCACGAGATCTTTCGAGCGCCTCTCCCTACACGACTCTATTGTCTTCTCCTGCCTCTCAGATGTGTGTTGACTCCAGATGCTTTAGGGTGGTCTTTCTTCCTCCTCCTTGGCCAGGAGGTGCAGCATTTCTGGCTGAGGACCAGAGCTGCTTCAGAGGATGTTTCAGCCAGGGCTGTGCTTCACATCAGTTATCCTGCAAGGGTGCTCGCGCAGTTCCCAATCCAGGGAACTCTGAGGGAGCTTCTTCAGCTGGGTCCTATCTGATTTCCCGGCATTGAGGGAGGGAGAGTGAATAATTTATTTCCTGTACCCCAGCTATCTCCCTGTTCAGGTTTCACCTCAGCTCTGCTTCACCCCTACCCTGAAGAGATGCTCCAGCGCCGGCTCCCATGTTGGCAAGTTTCTGACGTGGGCCGAGCCGGCCAAGATCTTCCAGAGACACGGCTGGTCCTGGCGGTGCTTACCTGTGTGCCAGAAGAGCAGTAAATAGGGCAAGAGAAATAATAGCATGAATAATGACAGCTCCGGACAGCTTCCACAGGAAGTCTTATTTTCAGTTCCTCTTTCACAGCATAACTTTAGCATCTACATTGGTCTTATTGTTTATTAATAATTCAACAGTGGCACACAGACGTCCCAATTGAGTTTGGAGCTGTGCTGTACCAAGCACCGTGGGAATACACATCAAGACGCAGCCCGTGAAAAGCACACCATCAGCTTGAGAACGTGTCCCTTCATGACAGGAGAGAAATTACTTCATTACTTTTTCTATTTTGAGATATATGAAAAAGTAATGGGTGCCAATGTTAGCAGTGAAATCTATTTAATCTTTTCTTTTTCCTTCCTTCCTTCCTTCCTTCCTTCCTTCCTTCCTTCCTTCCTTCCTTCCTTCCTTCCTTCCTTCCTTCCTTCCT